CTAGGTGAAAGGCGAAGAGAATCCACTGCTGACAGAAGGAGGCCAGAGCAGAATAATTGATCATGTTCAAATACAGCAGCTCCTGTTCCTGTGAGATCTCACACACATTTGTATTCCACCCCCCCCAAACACACACACACCCCACACACACACACACACACACACACAACACCCACACACACACACACACACACACACACACACATACCATGTATACATCACTTCAGGGGACTTTACATTGTCTTACATGCATTTCCTGGAGATTTATCCTAACCTTAACCATAACCAACACATGCCTAAGCCTAACCCTTAACCTTACCCTAATCCTAAACCTAACCAAGTCTTCACCCTAAAATTAATGATTCCCCTTATGGGGACCTCCAATTTGTCCCCATAAGGGAAGCCACACGTGACTATGTAAACAGATTTAAGTATAGTAATGCTAGACCACACATACACACACACACACACACACACACACACACACACGCACACTTTTCCTGAGTTTGATTGACTGACAGCAGATGTGTTGATTGTGTCAGTGACTGACAGGAGGCTATGAAAAGTCCTCTTCTGACGTCTAATGGTTTTTAAATATGATTTTATTATGTTATTTTATTGCAAATTCTTACATTTTATGTTCATTTAAATATTTTACATATAATTTTTTTTATAACATCTTAATCTAACTTGTTATGTCTTCTAGAAATGTCTTTATTTGACTGACAACATGATGACTACTTTAGTTATATTGTGCTTAAAATACTTATTACCTTTCAGACGTACCTTAATGGAGTAGTATTTTCAGACCTTTTGTCAGCCCACCATTCTGTGCACAAGATGGTCAGTGTTCCCAAAATCATGATTAGGAAATATATGTTTTGTAGTAATAGAAGACTTGATAGAAGATATAAAATAAGAACGAGGAAGGCATTTTCTATTTTCTTCTTGAGGTGTCTGGTCCCTGACACATCGCTGCTGTATTCCCCTCAGCAGGATGATGTTCTGATGCCTCAGTGTTTCCTTCAGCTGTGGTGAGGGTGGTGTTTCTCGAGAAAAACCCCAAGATTTCTCAGAGCTGTGACCGCACATTTGGAGGAACACGAACAGGCACCAAAAATACTTATTTGCTCAAACTGCACCGTGCATAGACAGTTGAAAACCTCCTTCCCCCCCTCCTCTCCACCCTCCATACCCAAGCCACCCGTCATCCATCCCCCAAAGCTTGGTTTGAAGCGCTGGCAGATGGGAAGCACTTTGCATTGACTTCCATGCGTGTCCTTGTTTTGGTACAATTTTCCCAAAATAAGGTTATTTATTTTGAATGGATTCAAACTGCAGCTTTCTGGCTCTGGGTTTGTTTGACAGGGTGAGAAGACGTCACTTGACTCAAATAGAGAAGATTCTGTGAATTCTAACAGGTTTTGTACTTGGTTATTATATGTACAAGAAGTTATTGTTCTAGATTGAGTGTGCTGGTTCAGTCCTGGTATAGCTATAATTTGTGGGAGGTACATACAGTATAAGATTATAATACATATAGACACTACAACATGCAATAATCCAAACTAGGGTGGTATATTAAAAAGAGTCTGGCACCACGATACATATCAAGGATTCATGGTAAGAATTCATTATATCGCAATATGTTGCCAAATTGTAAGCAAGGCAATTTGATCAATCTAACTAAAGGTCAACTGTAAAAAGGAAAACACCACCATAAAATCTGAGAACTTAAAAGACCTTCTTTATGCAATAAGAACAATGGTGTGTTCTTATTTCCCTGTTACATCTACTCTTAAGAGGGTACTTCCAGGGACAAGATACATGTCTTTGCAGTTTAATAAAGTATTGACATCCATGCATGTAAACTATACATTGGAAATCAGTACGGTGTGTTTAAGAATCAAGAGATTCAACATCAAAACATTACAACGTGAGAGTGGTTCAGGGACGATTCCTTAAACCCGGATATGAGTTAGCATTTGGTCCCTTTTAGGTTCCTTGTCTTAAAGTCAATGTTTTTTGGAACGTGTTATGATCGGATACCCAGAAATAAGGTCTAGTTAGTGTTTCAGTTTTGATAAGAGTAAGTCAGTAAATACTCCACTGGTGAATGTCTGAAGCTTATGTGTCTTTAAAACTGTGGTTGCTAACAAGTGACTAAATGAGACGACTAAATGTCATCACGCTGAACATTAGCCGCTTTAAGCTTAGCGGTGGTGACCTGAAGTCATGTGACCCTGATGTCGTCCCTTTATAGCCTAGCTTTTTACCTATTGCATTTACGCTTCAAATGTAATGACAGTGGGGTTAATATGTGGAGATGATCCTGCTGATCAAAACGTGTAAGCATCATAAACATGTATTTTTGTATGCAATATTCCAAATTCAATGGAAAATCCCATTGCTAGGTTGTCACGGCAGCCCTTGCAATGCTAATTTCCTGGTCGGCCTACAAAAAAAACATCATCAATTCACCGATTCATAGGCTTGTATACATATTTTCTTGCACACCCACTAAAAACAGTTCATTCTATTGAAGCCACCAGTGAAACCAAAAATGAGTCAAAGACCAAACCATGAAATGAATTCTCTTCACGGTGACAAATAATAATCATGTGACCGTTTTAAAATGTTCTTTGTGCATTCATGTCATCTGACCACTTTAACACATTCAGTCTTGAGAGTGGTGTGCATGTGGTCGTCCTCAGCAAACACCCCCCCCCCCTGGTGATCCACCAATAAACCCTGCAAGCCACTGTCTGATGATTGGCAGGTACCCCATGAGAGCTGAATGTATGAATGTGTGTGTGTGTGTGTGTGTGTGTGTGTGTGTGGTGTGTGTGTGGTGTGTGTGTGTGTGTGTGTGTGTGCGCTTGAAGTGGGGGGTTGGTGAGTGGTCAGTTTTCTCAGACTCATGTTTATTGCATATATATTTCTCTCTGTATGTTTGTTTCATGCAATCAGAAAACATGACACTGCCAAAGGGAGAGGTCACAATCAAGATTCAACGGTATTATTGTCATATGTACAGAAGCCATACTGTACAATACTGTAAAGTGAAATAAAACACTGTTTACTGTAGTAATAAATACATTGTGAGTGGCAAGGCTGTAGGTCATGCAGTGGTTTTATGTTCCTGCAGCTTTAATAACATATAGACTTCTTCTTCTGTGGTGCCTGAGACAAGATATGATGAATGATTTAGCACTGCAGCGCACGGTGTGTGAGAGGTCACGTCAAATATCTTTATGCCTGCCGTTCATTTGAGGAATATTGTATAAAATATGTTTAACATGGTCGTACATTCAGGCTTTATTAGCAGCCAAAGTGAGAGGTTTATTTGTATTTGAAGGGTGGGTGCTTATGCAGGGGGACATCTTTCTGTTTATTTATTTATGTATTTCTTTTCCAGAGTGGACAACCCCCCCAAACGCTGAATTAATCGATGCTGTAGCCCCGTCCCCTGTGGGTTAATGCCAGCCACATGCCTCAGAAAGTCTAAAATCATTTACCTGATCCTTCAGCTGATAGACAGAATTAACCCGATGATGATGTTTGGACAGGTTTGATGTGGACTGATAAGAGGGAAAAAACAACACGAGGAAAAGATAGAAAACTAAACATGAGTCAGGGATAACAAATGTTCTCGCTCTGTAATTGTTGGTCTGCAGAATAAAAACAGTGTTAGTCGTCGTATGAAAAATTGACTGTGGTTTGTATTGACTCAGCAGTGCTTCAGGCGACACATCATGTGTTTCTTTTCCACCCCACATATTGGAGCTTTAATTTGGAACAACATCAAAGAAACCCAGTTGGTGTATATAGGCTACAAAAAAAACATAATCTACCAAACGTCCCATCTGCTCCAGCACTAACGCATCACTGGGATAAGCCTAACAGAGAAATAATCACAGTGAGTGATGATGAAATTGGACCGTAAAACACCAATTGTTCTTCTGTAGCTGGAGGAGTGCAGTAATGTTATTTTTATTGGATTATTTTGTCTGAACTGCTGATGGATGTATTATTAAATGCACCACCATGCCAGGCTATAATAATATTAGGAAGGTCACATTGTCATAAAAGATAATAGCCAGAGAGGATTACTAGTGCCTTACAATTACTAATTACCTGTAAAACATGTAATCAGTAACCTAATCGATGTATCACAATATAAACGTAGTGTTAATTCTGCATCTGTTCATATATTGTGGTTTCCTTAGTAATCCACATTTGATGTATTCTGATTACCTATTTTTTATGAAACTGTAGCTAAAGGACTAGATTACCTTCCTAATTACGTAATCCAAGTTACTTGTATTCCATTACTTCCTAAATCTGGAAATACTTAAGAAAATATCTTTGAATTAAAGCAACCATAAATTGCTGAGAAAAAAGACCGCCGAATTATGATTTTTCCCTCTGAATTCTTTTGGTCTTCTTTTGGTCACATCCCAACAGTTTTTTTTCTCATGTGGCTCTAATCCTCTTCGTAGAATCATGACTAAACTGTTTAATAAAATGTATGCGTGCAGCAGCCACGTAGAAGTGGAGATAACACCCGCGAGCACCCACAAGAAAAACAGACACGAGAAGATGAAGGCTGCCCTCCTGCACGCGGGGTGAAACGACTACAGCAACAATAGGGCCCTAATAATCTCAAGGCTTTGTCTGAATTCCCAGTCCGACAGATTTTGGAGAACAAAGGCTGGCTTGGTCCCATCGGAGCCCGGGCCGGGACATCAGCTCTGATCTCCGCCGGGTGACTCCCCCCCTCCTCTGGGTATCGTTAGACGCGACAGGTCGCCGCTACAGACCCTGATTCGAGTCCCGCTCGGAACAAACATTCCCTTTCCCCCTTTAAATCTATCGATCAATTTTTTATTAACGCAAAATAGCCAAAAAATAAGATACAATTATAATGTAATAGTACAAATAGCCTAAAAAAAAGGTTCTGCTTCCTTTTCGCTAGGTGGAACGTTTGTTTGTCCTACCGAAAACAAGGAAGTGTAACCACCGAAAGCGACCGGAACACCGAGAACCACACACCGGGCTCTTCTCTCCGCTCATGCCGTCTAAAGCTGCTGTTTCTCGGCGTCTCTTCTGCTCTCTCTCCGCCTTCCTGTCCGGTTCTGCTGCCCTCTGTCGTTATCGCTTCCCTCTCCACCTACCAAATGGGGGTTCCTTGAAACCTGCTCACTGTGGGGAGGCGGGACTGTAGGAGAGGGGAGTTTGAAACCGTCTGAGATTTTTTTTTTAATCAACATTTTTTTTGCAAATGTAACGCCGAGTGGTTAACTTCAAAGGAAACTTCTGGATGATAAAAAAGATGAAAAAAGAACTATGACAGCACTGCGTAAGAGGAGGGCATGTTTTGTTTTTAGAACCCCAAAGGTCGAGCAACCCCTTTCTGAATTTTAGCATAATGGCACGCTAAAACTCTACACAAGGAGACATGTAGCGCTGCTTCAACTACAGGCTGTTAATGGGCATTTGCATACCGAGAGCCTGGCTTTATTCCTGGGTGAGAATTACAAATAAAGCTGCCATTAAGGTGACGACAAATACATCTTGGTGCGTTCCTGGGTGACATGATAACAGACCTGTGATACATGCCAGAAGGACTAGGTTATTAACTCACAATATAACTCAAATAAATTAAATAAAGGCCATATTCTCAATGTGCACGTTTTAGCTACACGTCGTGGTGTTTAGTTTATAACATTTTTTATAAAGATTACTGTTAGGTATGGACTTTTTTTCTCAGTATTCCTGGCTATGATGGACGTGCATGAACATGTCCGATGTTAGTGCTAATCTCTGTTATTGGGTTTTCACTTTTTCTTCCTTCCCGTAAGAATATAGGCTTTATATTATACATAATGACTGGAACCATTATGGGTAGTCTTGGGTTGGCCTATGGGGGAAAACAACGCCCAAATTGTGGCCTCCCAAATTAAATTGAAT